AGATTCCTGGATGTCCGTCCGTACCCCATTTAATGAAATGCGAAGGGGTCAGAAACCGGATCATGTACGGATTAATTACCGATTTAATGTAGCTAAGTTTCCCATTGCTATTAATGAAACAACACTTATTCCATATTCCTCATATATTTCCCAGTGCTCCGTAGTTTGTGCTGAACTCATGTACCTGTATATCTGTTCCTAGAAACGAACTGGAGTTTGAAATACCGAAATTCAAGCGACAGAATAACATATCGTACGTTATCGCAACTTGATTCTTGGAATTCCCGAATACAATCTGGCGGATGTCATTTCCACACAGCCCGCTCCTTTGTACTCATGCTAGTGATATTAGAAAACGTATTTGGATGAAGTAAACTCCGAAATTAAACACGAAAATTGCAAAAAAAAAAATTCAACATTCTTCTACAGAAACTGGAAAAAATCTCTCAGCAGTATAACGAAAAGATGATTAAATTTGTAAGTAAAGGTATCCCTGTAACAGGCCGTGAAGGCCCATAGCGTCGTGAGACGTCGAGACTCCAACTGATTTTCTCTAGACAACCAGCGCATAGATGGCGGTGAATTTGTCAGCCTTACGCGCCGGCCGCCCTTTATCCCCAGGAATATTCCTGGTACTCATTTCTGTTAGAGGCTGAGTCGACCACAGGGCTATAGTGCGGCTGGAAGGATTAGGTCAACTGAAAAATATCCACCTCATTGGGATTCGATCCCGCGACCCTCCGGCTTGTAGCATAGTGTCTCAACCAACTACGCTACTGCGTGCCACTTGATTCGGAAGGGAGTAAATTGATGGGTGAGGGTTATACAGACACACAGAAAGCAGGTGACTTCATAAGCCTGAATTTATTTTTTTTTAAATAAGGAAGGTACGAGTATGTTTAAAATATTTGTTCTTTTGAATACGAGGTGATTGATGCTACAGAGCTTTCATACAATGGCAGACTCCAGCATGTTTGTTTGTGTCTGCAAATTGTGCAGTACGAGTAGGTAAGTAGTTTATTTGAAGAGTTCTACTTATTCTGAAACTAAAGCTAGAATTTTTATAGTGCATTTACAACAACTTTCTGTGCCGAGGAAGCAGTTCATCAGAGGGGAGGGCGGCTGGATCTGAGTAACTGCGATGTGAATTATAAATTAATCGACCAATCAGCGAGCGAAATAAAAATTGTTTTTCACAGAGTCCAAACGACTTGTTTCTGCCTCCGCTAATATAAACGGTATTAAATTAAATTTTAAGTCACAGTATACAGACAGTACGGACCATTTTAATTACATACACATATGCTTCTCAATTTTTCAGTTTTAGAGAAAACTAAAAAGAAAAAGAAAAGGAATCTCAAATGTCCCCTGGCCATGTATTTGGAATTTTCGGTTTCAAGATTAAAATTATTTCCTGGTAATGTGGCAAAATGTTGAAGGTTATTTATCTGGAATTCGTCCGTCGCCAGAAATATTCGCGTAAAACCCACAGCGTTTAAAAAATGTCTTACTCTTTCCGTTTTTAGGTGCAGACGATATTAAGGAAGTGCAACACCACTAATACGAGGGCCAATCAGAATGGCTGCACGATCTAAAACATGAACTATCATGGCCTTCTCGAACACTCGGATCGTTGGTTCGAATCCCTGGCCGCGCCATAGCTCAAGCGGTTAGTCGCTGGCTTCCCACCACGGCGGCCCGGGTTCGATTCTTGGTCTGGTCAAGTGGGATTTGTGGTGGACAAAGTGGCGCTGGGGCGGGTTTTCTCCAAATACCTCGGTTTCCCCTGCCAATCTTCATTCCACCAAATTTTTCATCATTATAATCACCCGGGGCAGGCTACAATAAGCCAATCTGTAGCCGCCGTGCCGAGTAGACCCAGCTGGACTCCACCCGCTACTAATCGAATTAAAGAAAAATTTAGTTCGAATCCCACTCAAGGCATAGTTTTCTGTGTACTATTTTGTGTGTTTGTGTTGTTCTGTGCATAGGTAGATGGCTTGTGGTAGGCTGATCACCACTCCAAGGAGTCACACTAACTGCGTAAAAGATCAAGAAACCGAAAAAGCGGCCAGAGCCCAGAAAGCGCCTTAGAGCCATAGGCAGGTACATAGATAGAGAGATAGATAGATACATAGATATGATACGAGGTGTGCTCCGCTTATTGTCTCAACAGAAGAAGAATTTCTTCATGTACTCTCAAACTGAAGACGAGGATATAACTCATTTAAGATAAATTATATTTCTGTCGTAATCTTAGATCTTACAGCTATCTCCACGTTTTGCGGAATGTATAAAACAAGGATCCACTGTGAAAAAAAATATGAAGANGATTCAAGGTCCTGACATTCCATGTTCCAATCTTGTATCCATGCTGTTTCTTCTGATCTTCGCACTTTTTCTTGTTGTAACGCCTGCATGACATTTCCTCTAGAAACACTCCCCCCCGGAGATCAAATGCATTTATAAAAAGAAAAAAATTAAGAACTGGAGAACTAAGGTGATGATATACAGAACAAGAGTGACGGACAAACACCAAATAAATAAGCTGAAACATTATCAGTTTTTGATTTCTAGCATATAGAAATCTTACCGAAGTTTACTAGGCATAATAAATAGGGCACAAGCTGAACGAATGAATAGTCAAAGTTTTATGTTCGATTCCCAGTGGGATAAGAGACTTTTCTTTTCTCCGCAGCTTTCGAGACTGGCTCCGGGACCTATCAACGCAATGGGTACCGAGGGATTTTTCGCCCGGGGGGTAAAAATGCTGAGGTTTGAAGTTGACAGTTCTCCATTTTGTGTCGAGGTTGAGAACGTGTAAAATTATCTCTCTGCTTCCCCAAAATGTTTCAATGGGGTAATGTTTAATTAAGAATAGCACGATCCTTTAAAATCTTCGAAACGCAAGTGTTTTCTCGTAACATTCAAAGCTAAGTAACCGATATTTCATAAATAAACCAATCCTTCTTCAATATAAGACAGGGTAAATATGGCAAAGTGATAACGGCCGCAGTTAATCAGGACCTATCCACATTATAAGGTAATTTCTTTGACCAAGAAATCTCTGCTTATGTAACATCAATTAATCTTTGAATCATGGAGTAAATTTTCATATCTAATTTATTTAAGAGTTATATTCTGAAATGTAATGTGACTAAATGTTTACTGTGCGGCTCATAACGCAGAAGCACGCAATTCTGAGTTCATTTATTGATTCTTAAGTATATTTACCGACACGAAATCAGTGGATCAGTCGATAAGTCACCCATCCTGAATTCAGAGAGCAAGGTAAAGGTGTCCCTGTGCTTAACTAATTAAGCACTATGCCAAAAAGGCTTATCGGCGTGTGATGTATAGATCCACATGTTAGTGGATGTGTTGTGTTACGGCACTTGCTGGGGGTGAGCGGTCAGCTTCACTATCCGGCTGCTTTACCCCTGGGGAAAGAGCCCTCAGTACCTACTGGATATTAGGCTGGGTGGGCCCCAGAACGAGTCTGGACCTCCATATCTCCTGTTGTGCCCGTGAATGGAACCCGATTCCCCTCTTGTTCAGGCCGTATGTAGTAGCTATATCGACTGAGCTATCCCTGTCCCATAATAATGTAAGAGTGTACCTAGGAATTAATAAGATGTGCCCTAATAACGACCTTGCAGGTGATTAAACTTGTTTGAATCAAAATATTTCCTTCTTAGTGGTGGTAATTGAACGGTTGTGTGCTAAGTATATTATTATAACGGCCTGCGAACTAACATGCAAATATTATTTTGAAGTCAGTAATTACAAACATGGCGACATTACGAACCTTTGAGTTTAGGCGGAAAATCTAACGTTTACAGAACACGTGCCTAAGTATAAAGTTCTACACAAAAACATAAGAAGCCGCCAATTGAGTAGCTAATCAAGAAAATTCCGAAGGTTCATTACCGTGTTCACAAGAGCCCTCCACTGGTACCTATCCTGAGCCAGATCTATCCAGTCCACACCATCCCATCCTATCTCTCCAAGATCCATTTTAATACTGTTCACCCACCTTTATAGCTTTTTCTAGTGGTCTCTTTCCTTCTGCCTTTCTCACCAATGTCTTGTATGCATTTCTCTTCTCCCCATTCGTGCTATATGTCCTTCATATCTCATCCCTCTTGACTTGATAGTTCTAATTATACTTGGAGAAGAGTACAAGTTATGAAGCTCCTCATTATGCAGTTTTCTCCAACCTCCTGTCACTTCATCTCTCTTCAGTCCAAATATTGTCCTCAACACCCTGTTCTCAAACACCCTCAGTCTATGTTCCTCCCATAATATCAGAGACCAAGTTTCATGTCCATACAGAGCCAGAGGCAAAACTACAGTTTTGTATATTCTAATTTTTATGTTTTTAGACAGCAGACGAGAAGACAAAGGGCTCTGGACTGAATGGTAGCAAGCATTACCCGAGTTCATTCGCCTCTTAATTTCCTCCTGAATCAGGTTTCGATACGTTATCACTGTTCCCAAATATCGGAACTGTGCCACATTTTCAAAACATCTGTTTCCTATCTTTATGTCAGATTTTTCCCTGCATTTTGGTGACGAGACAGTAATATGTACTTAGTTTTCTCTATGTTTACTTCTAGACCAACCATAATAATAATAATAATAATAATAATAATAATAATAATAATAATAATAATAAATAAAAAAATAAAAAAATAATAGCTATGGAGCCATAAGGCTAGAAATTTGTGCACAATGACAGTAGGATTTATAACTTCTGTCCGAAACCACTCCTTCTTTTAGCCATAACCCACAAATTGAAGTCAAAATACCCGTCATGAGCTCAAATGTTATTTTCAAACTGTTCGCTTTTATTCTCACCTAACCTTATATGTTTCAAATTATCGTGAAACATCGTGAAAACCCGGTTGATATCGTGGGAAAGGGGGAGTGGCATAATTTCTTCGGCAGTCAGGCCCGGTTGGCCTCTGGGAGACCGCAGTAGCACATCTTCCGTGACTGTGAGCGCCACGCGCAAAGCTGCGGAAATTGACGGCAGCTTCCGTACTAAAGATCCATTAACCCGCGCCAAAACTTTCAAAAAAATACATGTCTCCCGAAAGAAGAGGAAATGTGTGTCTAACAGCTTTAAAATGGACTAAGAAATATTACTTGTTTAAAGAGACTTTTCAATGTAAAGTGTGAAACCATAGTACCCACAATGCATCAGCCACGCCCTCGTTTTTCAAACTAACTGGTTAATATTAGTTACAACAGTTACTGTACCAGAAACTATAATACATCATCCCTTCGCCAATAATACTATTTCACCTACGTATTTATAGCAATTATCTGCACGAATATATACTGTATAACTGTGTGGTGATTTCTGTGTGTGTTTCATTTTGTATCATTTATTAAGAATTGTATAAAGAGAAAGTTCCTTTTCACGTTTCGAAAGCACATTATTTGTAGGACTGCTTATTCGTACGTGAACTGTTTTACGAAGAAATTACTAATCTGACGTGAACGAAACATCTGCCATGGAGAACGTACACAGTTGGTGAGTAAAAAATAAGAATGAAAACTGTGAATAATGTGCAATTAAATAATATTTTTATGTAGACACGTTATCAGATATATATATATATATCGAATTTTAATAAAGAAGTATCAAACGTGTGAACTGACGTAAGTGTGTCGTACTTATAGTGACGCTATTTTAAGTTACTCTACATGTTATGATTTTGAAAGCAATATGAATATTTAAATCGCTATTTCCTGGTGTCTTTAATGAAAACTAGAAAAGAAAATAGAGTTATTTTCAGCAGTATTCGAGTTACGAATACGTAACTGTGATGGGTTTGCGGCGAACTCATTAGAAAAAATAGTGGAGGCCAAATAAATATTGTTTTTAGCTAGTTAATTAAAGATTCTGTGACTATCGAGAGCAGAAATCATCCAAGAAATCGTATTCACAGCTATCAGTCCGTCACACTGACTATTACATAAAGAATAACTTGTAAACACAAATATATCTCATTCAGGCTGCTAAGTTGCTGAAGATAACAAGAAATATTTTTTATATAGCTCGTGAGATGGTGAGATCTAGAGTTTTCAAAGAGACGAATATTAAAAAACGGTCATTTACGATCTGATGTCGCACAGTTTGGTGTAGTTATTAAATTTTCGGAGGAGTATTCTAAAAATAAGATGAAAGAAGCAGGTCCCATCGAAACGTCGGTACTTTTCTAAAAAAAATTGCATGATGTTAATCCCGGAAGAGTACAATTTCAATTTTATTCTGTTTGCAACATTCCTAACAAGCTTACAAATTAGTCCCAAACACAGTTTGTAAAGATAGGATACTATATTAAAAATTAATTTATAAATATCAGTGTGTATTTCTCCACATATACAAGAAGTTTAACTATAATTGTATTAGGATTTTACAACCCCTGAGTAAGTTGTGGGCATCCTTCAGTATTTTACAACATATCTGAATTTATTCTTTCCACAGAGAAGAAACGCATTTTAATTATCTGAACACGGATTTTAATCTACATAAAATTTCAAATTCTTCTCCTACTTCACAGGAACACACTGCGTCTCCATTAATAAGACCAACCAGTTAATGTGATTTAGAGAAATAATCGTCGCTTATTATGAAATTCATAAAAAGCGAAGTTAATTTTACTGTTAAAACAGGCGACATACATAAAAATAAAGCAGAAATTTTGATATGATGATGATGATTATTATTTTTTTAGACTCTGCATTAACCTATGAGCACGATGTTTAACTAAACAGAATTTAAAAAAATCAATTCATACCTCAGAGAAAACGTACTGCGTCTCTATTAAAGAGATCAATCGTTTTAACGCTGTTTAGTGAAATAAAAATGAATATGGTACTTCAATATCGCCGCTTCTTCTTGGTATTTTTCCCCAATCGATAAGTATTATCTGAGATATAGGTATTTTATCTTTTATACATGCTCAACAACTTTGTTTTTCTTTTTAAGAATTTGAAACAGTATAAGATATTGTCACTTGTAGAGGGGTACGCGTGACGAAAACAACGGGGGCCTAGTTCGGGTGATTAGCACTTTGGTTACAAGTTCGCTTAATAACACTTAATACAGCGCTATCGCTGATTTACACAATTTCCAGTCCACCGTTGCACACGCACTAGGATTCCCAGTCATCACTAGTCGTCTCCTAGCAACGGATCTCAACACAAAAACTAGCACTTCAAATCATTATGAAGTCTTCTTGACTTTTCTTGTTCAGTTACCCTCGAACCTCGGAACTCAGCTAAAAACCCTTCTGGACTCTGGACTAATCTAAGGTACAACAGGTCTTCGTTAAATAGGCTCCGCACGGACAACACAGAAAACACAAGTCACGTGATTCCTAGCCAGCGACTTCACTAGAGTGCTGACTGTTATCTAGAAACAAGCAATAACATTCGTCCACTGGGACACTGCTTGTAGTGTTGCCTAGAAACGCTTTCAGGAATTCCTTTACAGCTTTTTAAAGTGATGTATGTTGTGTAGTCCTGTAGAAGTTTAATGATGTTTCGAGAGAAGATACTGCTTCCATCTTCATGGACGAAGATATATTTATCAAGCAGTGGGCTATATGCAAGCAGTAAACTGAGTGTCCGCTCGACCCTGAAGATGAAAGGAAATTCCTCCGACTTTTCGGTAAACTTCTACCGGACTGCACAGCGTCAGTCACCGTTTAGAGAACCACGAATCCAATCTCTCTCCCTTCCTTGTTGCTCCCATTTTTGAGCAGAGGGCATCCTTGAAAGGCTTTGTTCACTTCAGTTTCTTAGCCCTAGAGCAGTCGGTAGGACTCCCTGGAAGGGAGATCAGCCCGTCGAAACGCCGTTACATACACAAACATATAATAAACGAAGATAGACATCCATGTCCGGATGAGGTCATTGGATTTTTTTCAATTGACCTAATCCTTCCTCCCGAATTGTGGCCGTGGGGTTGACTCAGCCTCTAACATAAACGAGTACCAGGAATTAATTAAATAATTTTCCTGGGGAGTAAAGCGCGGCCGGCGCTGACAACCTTACCGCCATCTTTGAGCTGATTGTCTAGATAATGTGGGAGCCTAGACGTCTCACAAACCTATGGGCCTTCACGGCCTGTTACAGGGATAGCTTTATTTTTTTAGATATCAATATTTTGAGTGGGATTCGAACCAACGATTTCAGCCTTCGAGCGGGCGAAGACAGTCATATGCAGTATAGTTCTATATTATTCAGTAATAATTATAACTGTCACCACGACGGAAACATAAGTTCGATGAAACAGAATTGACGTACATGAAATTCATACACGAAATGAAATAAATAAATAATGTTTGTGACTATATATATATATATATATGTCGCAGAATCATGGCTATGTCCAGGCACAAATAGTGAGCGAACAATTTGTCATTCTGCTTGCTGCTTTAAATATTTCACGAGCTGGACTGTGCACCATTAGAATAAAAGCCGTGTTGCTACGAACCAGCTTTATTTTAAGTCTAAATTATATGCCTACTATATGAATAGGGGGATGAGTCAATACGGGATGTCAGCAAGTTAATACAAAATGTAAAGGGAATAATCATATATGAAACTTGACTATATAAATTGTACCAGTTATCACGAGGGATAACACAATCATCGCGAGCATTCAGCCTGAGGATTAGATGAAGAGGCCATAAGAACCGAACACAGCGAACTGTCAAATTGCTTGTCTGTTCCAATTTCTGCTTCGGTTAGGAAATACCAATTATTTTCCACTTCCTGCAAGTTTTATTGACAAAGATGGCAGATCCATGTGTTGCTTCGTTTTAACAAAGTAGCAAGTTCATTGGTAAGAACATAAGTTGGTTGCTTGGATACATAAAGACACAATTCCATAATTATGTACAGTATTCATGTGGATTAGCCGATGACAGTGGCCCCGAGGTCTAAGGCATGAACTGCCTTCGCCCGCTCTAATATTTGGATCGTGGGTTCGAATCCCACTCAGGGCATGGATGTTTAGCTTGTGTGCCTGCGTTTTTCTGTGTTTGTGTACAGGCAGAGGCCTTACGACGAGCTGATCACCCGCCCAAGGAGTCCTACCGAATGTGTAAGATGTAGAAAAACCGAAATGAACGGAGAAGTTCATGGAGGTACGCCTAGGTCCACTGGGGCTGTAGTGCCAAGGAAAAAAAAATGTCATGTGGATTAGCCGATCGCAGTGGCCCCGAGGTGTTAGACATGAACTGCCTTCGCCCGTTCTAACACTGGAATCGTGGGTTTGAATCCCACTTGAGGCACGGATGTCTGTGTGCTTTTATTCTTTGTTTATGCTGTCCTGTGTGTAGGTAGCGGCCTTGCGAAGGGCTGAACCTCCATCCAAGAAGTCCTACCGACTATGTAAAGGCGCGTCCACATTACTCGCGAGCATAGCGAGTCGCACGAGCACGAGTAATGTGAAAACACCTTGAAAGATTAAGAAATTGAAAAAGCGGTCAAGGTCAAACATAGAGCTGTAGAGCCATAGATAGATTAAGGTGTATTACAGTTAGTGCTTGTGTAAGGCTATTGAGACACCAACCGATTCGAGTCTGCTTAAAAAAAATGCTGCTAACACAGACTATGAATAACACTATGCTACATTCGGTTCTTGGGAGTGCCTGAATAATTTCCGTTTCGGCTACTCTGGGCTCGGCTCAGTTGCTTCGAGTAGAGCCTAACAGTAAATATATTTGCACTTAGACCGGACATTAGCAACGAAAATTTTATACTTTATGGATGGGATGGTATGGGCTGGATCGATCTGGCTCAGGATAGGGACCAGTGGAGGGCTCTTGTGAACACGGTAATGAACCTTCGGGTTCCATAAAATGCTGGGAAGTTCTTGAGTGGGTGCCTAATTTGCGGTTTCTCAAGAAGGGCTCAGCTCCACGGAGTTAGTTATATATTCGCATTATATTGAGATCCAAACATGTTCTTCTACCCTGATGATGGAGGCGGAAGATATTTCTAAAACGTTAGGTTTTATTGCAACATTGACGAGAATGATAACCTTAGATTTTAATATTTTTACTCGCCTTGAAAGCGCAATAATTACTGAGTAATCTTGAAGAAATCTGCTGGCTGAAGTCCATTTAGTAGTTTTTATTGCCTTTACGTAGTAAAGGACATACATTTAACTTTATTTTGACCGCTATGGTGAAAAATTGATAAGAAAACAACCGGGAAAAGAATGATAAAAGGAAATGCTGAAGTCATGCTCCTAGTCCCTCTGGAGACTTCAGTTCCCAAGAGCTAATGTGAGGATTAAATCTACACACACCCAGGCGTCCTGTTACAAGAATCGTTCAGGAACAGGAGAGAGGGTAAGGTGTAGTGTTTTGTTCACTGCAACCGCCGGCATTCTGTCTGACTGCTTGTTCAGAACAGATACAAGGCTTCGACTGTTACCTCTCGAAGGATTCAAAAGATAAGGAGAAACACAGAGGGCGTTATTGTGTATAAAATATTATGATATAACTAAAT